TGTCTCTCTCTCTCTCTCTGTGTCTGTCTCTCTCTCTCTCTCTCTCTCTCTCTCTCTCTCTCTCTCTCTCTCTCTCTCTCTCTCTCTCTCTCTCTCTCTCTCTCTCTCTCTCTCTCTCTCTCTCTCTCTCTCTCTCTCTCTCTCTCTCTCTCCCTCTCTCTCTCTCTCTCTCTCTTCCTCTCTCTCTCTCTCACGATTGTTGGCTGTGCTGCAAGAAAGACGTTAAAGCACGATCGGGTCCATTCCCACTAACTCCAAACAGGACTCGTAATCCCCACGACGGTTCCTGGCCTTCGACGACGACCTCTTGCATCATATCATCTGCAGGAAGAGAGGCGCACGGCTGGACATGGAAACTGGGTTAAAGACGTGAGGGTTGAATTCTCAGCAAATTATCATAACCTCGATCGACCTGATACCAAAGACAACCAACCGCCAACGCATCGACCAGAAGGGGCGGTGGCTTGTGACCACCAGCATCAAATCATGCCTTCTTGGCAGGTTTAGCGACAATGCCAGGTAGGATCCGGCACCACATGCGACGCGCCACATTGGCAAAGAAAGCGAATTGGCCCGAGGCAAAGCCAATGCTGAGAAGAATGACCGTGTAGATGGGTGTAACAAACACAAAGCTGCCAATGCGATAACTCCAAGGACCCTCGATCAAAGTGCCTGCACGTTTGCATTGGAGATCCATCCGCCCGAGCCAGGCCATGCAATCAACGTGTGATCAGATGTCAAGCATGTACAAAGAAAGAACAAAAAAAAAAACAAGAGTCGTCAAGGACAAAGCCAACCCACGACCGAGACATAAAAGCAAGATGTGCAAGGCGAGCATCGGCGCTAAACATACCCTCAATGCCCAGCGAGTCGCGCATAAAGGGTCGCACAAAGTAAACGGACGAGCTGCCGGTGATGCCAAAGACAATGAAGCGAATGGTCCAGACCCACCACCATGCCGGGCTAAATCGGACGGGCTCGGGTCGAGCTGCGGTCCATCGGCGCAGAAAGGTGCTTTCCATGCCTTCGGGTGACTGACTGCTCATAAAGCTGCGAGATGTGACGCATCATGGTACACACGCACACGGAGGACATGAAATAAGGAGCGTAGGGAGACGACGGAAGATGGTGGCAGGCAAAGAAAGTAAAAACATTTCCAGCATACCGTCGCGAGAATGTGCAGACAGGTTGACGACAGATTCGAGGAGCAAGCGCCCGCACGGACGAGGCTGAGCACGATGCGAGCGACGAGAGAGACCGCACAGATGGACCCGCTCGGCAGGCAGCACCCAGCATCTGCACACCGCGCTGCCCCACAGCCCAGTATCCTGTCTGCACCCGAGGAACCGCAGGTCGAAGCAGCGCACACAGCGTCGTACGAGTCACCGCTCCGACGCCGCGGAACGCCCCGAGACCAAGACCAAAACCAAGTCCGAGACGAAGGCCGTGCGACATGTTGAACCGAAACGCCTCCAAAGCAAAACTCGTGGTTGCCGGATGTCAGCTTTTGTCTTTGGAAAAAGAGCACTTAAATTTTGGTGCTTTATATATGAATTTATACCTGAATAACTTCGCCAACGGTCATACCACATGGAATACACCGGCTCTCGTCCGATCGCCGCAGTTAAGCCATGTTGGGCCATGCTAGTACTATCGTGGGTGACCAGATGGGAATACATGGTGCTGTTGGCCTCCTTGACTTTTTTGCTGTGCTTTTTCTGATGCCGTGCGATGCTGTCGCAGTAGCACCTGAACCGGTTCTTCGTACCCCTGTTGTGAGTGTCGTTGACTGATCGGCTGCCTTTTTGATTAGAGGGAGGGTATGTCACTCCTGCTAATTCTTTTGGTGTACTATTCGGCTGTCATGAGCTCGTACGTTCAAACTTATCCCTGTTGTCCACCCCTCCTCCTCGAAAAACAAAAAAAAATCCAACCATCTTTGATCTTTGACGTGCCTGGTCTTGTGCAGTTTCTTGCAATCCATCAAACAGCCCCACGCCTCAGGACCGACCGTTAACATGGCCTTTGATTTGATCTCGGCGCTCCTGAATGGTGTGACCGTCGGGTCTATTGTCGGGACGTTTGTTGGTGGTGGCATGCGTGCTGCCTTTGTTTTTGAGTTTTGCCCTTACCGGTGACGTTGGACTACAGGCCAACTGGTGTAATCTGTCTGCCCCACGGAGAAAGCCGACAGCTTCTGGATTGTTGCCACTTCTCAGCTCCTCAAAGCAATCCAAACTTTCCATTCATTTTTTAATATTTTCTCCTGATTTTCGATGAATTTGAGCTTTTCTCCCTGGGTGCTTCTCGCAGTTAATAATACCTAGGAAGATATTTTGTCAGTTGGTCTTTGATGTCTCTTGTCGTAGTCCAGTAAAAGGTTGCATTTCGCCTTGTGATGGTAGTGCGTCCAGGTCGTTTCATCGGTCTGGGCCCTCAGACGAAACGGTTTGTCATGCCACGACAGGCCAAAGGCGAAAATTCAGCAGAAATCAACTCAAAAAAACAAACCAAAACTAAAAGCAGAGTTGGTAGGTACGGTCCAAACCACTGTCTACACTCTATGGTACATCATTACCTCCCAGCCAGGGGTTGCGTATGTTAGTCAGTCTCACCCTCCTACAACGGGTGACCTTGCTCCCAAGGTCAGGCCTCAAACCTCGGCCTCATAGGACTCATGAAACACCGACGCCGAGTCGGAGGACTGCAAAGACCTGAGCACTGGGCACGGGTAGCGCAGCGGCACCGGCAGGCTGCTGGCACCAGGGTGACCTATGATGCAAACAAACGCGGAGGTGAGCGGGCACACCAGCACAGGCACCCCGCACTACGCGCGATGGTTGCTCAGGTCAGTTGACATGTACCCGGTCGGTAGTGATCCACCAAGTCGTCGAGCGTGGGAAAGATTTGCACATGATCAAGGGTCCAGCCCTGCGGCTCTACTGGTTGGATGTTGTAGTTGTGATGGTTGTGGCCATCACACAGCATCAGGACTTTATGCGGCCCGTATCGACTCGGCCGAATCAAGTACAGACCCGCCTTGTAGCCCTGAGGTTCGGGTGGAGAGCAAAGAGAGTGGCGTCAAGACAGTTGGTACAGGAAGAAGCTGCAAACCACGCTTGTCAGGCAAAGCACAGGAAGACATACCCGAACACGCAACGCTTCCTGGGCTTGAGAGCGTGATAAGGGCAGCGAGAAATGCGCAGTTGTCTAAAACACACACGCCCAGCCACTCCATCAGGTCACTGATCAGAGGACAGAAGCAGAAGCTGTATCAGAACTCGGAAATTGAACAAGCATACCAGTTTCGGACTGCGGGGACTCTCGCAAAGCGGCTGGAGTTCGGAAGCGGCATTGGACGCGAGTCCGCCATGAACAAACGTCGGGCCGATCGACCGGGACTCGGGCAGTGGGCCAACTGTCGCGGCTCGCCGACGCGGCGGGCGGACAGATGAAGGTGACCTCGTGGTTTCGCCATGGCTGGCCGGTAGGGAGAGGAGGCCATCTCGCTGCAGCGGAGCCCGCGACAAGCTCTGCGAGCCCACAGGCGACATAGGAGAGCCTACAACGGAACGAATACGCCCTGGACCATCCGTTTCATTGTTCAGCACCAGTGGCGTCCGCGGTGACGATGCGACATCTAGCGAATAAGAACGCTGATCAAGGGGGTCCAGTACCAAGAGTGGCGGGCGTGAGGAAAACGCAGGCGGACCAAGGCGACCATTATTTTTGATAGCCGGGCTCGAGCAGTCAAACAAACATGAGGCAGCGGTGGCTGATGAGGCGCAGATCTTCTTCCAGACACCTAGCCGGAACAAGTAGCAGACATGAGCGAGCAAAATGACACAGAATGACGGTGACGTGCGTGTGTGCCAAGTCCAAGGTGGAGGGCAAGAAGGAAACCTTGGAATAGAGGACTTCAGCACGGCGCTGACGATCCAGCTCCTCGCGCAAGTCCGAGTCATCCAGAGCGAGTCGTGCAAGTCGCTCTGCAGCCCCGTTGTCACTCAGTTCAAAGGCTGCAAATCGACACAGTTCACACGGGACAAAACGACCAGTGGCATTACCAGGCAGAGGCACGCCGCGATGTCACCCGGGGAGCAGCAGGTAGATCGAATGCCA